TGTGGCAAGGCGCGCGGCCGGCCTTGTGCCGAGCCCGGCAAGCTAGCAGCCCGGGCTGTGTGTGGGGATGCTCTAAACAGGGTCAGTGTCTCTTAACGGTAAGGACATACGCACGTGGAGTTGTTCCACCTTAAGATTTTCCTGTATCTGGAGTGAGTGATTGGGCCCCTCATGACAAGAAAGACACTGAAGTGCTGGAGCCTGTCCAAAGTAGGGCAGTGAAGCTGGTGAGGGGTCTGGAGCACAAGACTTATGAGGAACCGCTGAGGGAACTGGAGTTGCTTAGCCTGGAGAAGAGAAGACTGAGGGGAGACGTCGCCCTCTACAACTGCCTGACAGGAGAGTGTAGTCAGGCGGGAGTCAGTCTCTTCTCTCAAGTAACAAGTGGTAGGACAAGAGGAAATGGCCTCAAGTTGTGCCAGGGCAGGTTTAGATTGGATATTAGAAAAAAAATTTTCACCAAAAGGGTTGTCAAGTATTGGAACAGGCTGCCCAGGGAAGTGGTTGAGTCCCCATCCCTAGAGGTATTTAAAAGACATGCATATGTAGTGCTTAGGGACATGGTTTAGTGGTGGAATGGCAGTGTTTGGTTAATGGTTGGACTTGATGATCTTAAAGGTCTTTTCCAAACTAAACAATTTTATTCTATTCTAACAATGCGAGAGGAAGTGCAGGATTCCCGTGAGCAAACAGTCTTGAAAGCCACTGTAGTGTGTATGGGCTTAGATCCCAGTTGCAGAACCACAGAGTTGTGTAGGTTGGAAGAGTCCTCTGTAAGTTGTCTGATCTAGCCCCAGGGCAGAGCCAGCTTAGAGCAAGTTGCTGAGTTTTGTCCAGTTGCGTTTGGAGTATCTCCAAGGATAGAAATTCTACAGCTTCACATTTGGTTACCCTCAGAGTGGAAAGAAATTCCTAATCTTATACCCCATGATGTCTCCCACCACTTTGCATTTAAGGCTGCAAGGCAGGGTTCTGCATCTGGAAGTCAGTGCACAAAGCCAGAAAGGGAATACAGCCTGCGACAAACCAAGAGAAACCTGGGAAAAAAAGCAGATCTAAAACTGATTTCAGTTGATATCAGTGGATAGACAGAATGATGCCAAATATAACAATTCCAGCACCAGATCAGTAAAATTATTTCCATATATTGTTGAGAAGCTGTATAACTATGGCAGAAATAACAACTTTGTTCTCATGGTAAAGCTGCCTTATTTGGCAATCATTTAGCATGCAGTAGAAATACAATAAGCTGATAAAAGTTGGTTGCAGAGAATTGTTTAAATGCATAATTTTATCCTTTAGGAGTATCCACTGATTTCAGTGAGACTCTTTGCTTGTATTAAGTTAAACCTTTGTAGAAGTGGGAGCAGAGAGAGGAAATGAAGCTGGATGTCTGACTTTGTGCCTGATTATATTTGCTGGTGCCTTGTAAGAGAGCATGTATTAACAATATATCTTGTTACTTGTGACATGGTGTTACCTGGACATAATGACAGCAATTGCCAAGCTGTTATGGGTTGCTACCACTGCAGTTATAACAGCGTCAAGGTGTTTGGAGGATATTACTGATTTAACGGGATTGCTATTATTTTTTTAATCATTCCAACAATGAGATTCTGATCATCTAGCAAGTGAGTTGGCTAGGAGTGGTGCAAACCAAGAGGCCAATTTATTGTACTTTTTCACATTCCCTGTGACTTCTGTGCATCTTGGTCCTTTATGAAGCCTTCACGTGACTTCATTTTTAGCATAGTTAAACCTCCATAAATATGCATGTTTCCATGTCTAAGAATACAAAACATTAAAGTATGTAGGCTTTGCAAAGGACAGAAAGCTGTTTCTAAAAAAGAAAACTAGTCATTTTTTAGCAGCGTGGTTCATTATTTGAATACTCTAGTGAGAAAGATAAACTAGAAGTTGTAAATGCTGAAGTGTGTTCAGGTTTTCCGGTACTCCTATGCCACTATTCTTTCCCATGGAGAGCTGCAAAGCAGAGGTTTTATACCTTTGTGCTTTCTGTTCCATTCTTGTTTGTTTCAGAGTAAAGCTGGGATTCCCTTTGGATGTTAGTTGGAGGAATAGAACCACCTTCTCCAGAGTGAAAAATATTTGTTCTTGATTTAATTCTAAAAAAGTGTTTCCTGGGAAAAATACAAAACCAGAAAGTCTATTAGGAAATATGCTTAGTTGGATATGTAATTCCCCAGTGGTGAAGCTGAATATCACAGAGATTTGCTCCGTGCTGGACTGCAAAGGGGTGCTTTTCTGAACTTAAATCCAAGCCTGCTGCAACCAGTCCCTTCAGCTTCTTGGTGCCTGCATCAGCATATAGCTAGCCTGTATGGGTGGAATTCTCGTACCTGTACTACAGCTAAGATCACCTCTGCTGATGGCTGCTATTAAACTGTGTTTCACAGATTAGATTGTCTGTTCAAAAAATCTTGAAGTTGTAGAATATAAATTGTCATATCCTAATTTTTATGTGGAAAAAAGTGATCTGTTTCAAGTGTTTTCTTAAGCCTACTCACTCTTAGTATCAATGTGTTTGAAAAGATTTCATTAAGGAATGCAAACACTATTAAATTTCTAAAATTCTTCACATCTGGGTAAATTTATGCTACTGCTGGAGCAAATGTAATTGATATCTTCATATAGATAAAGATCTAATCTTTCTATTCCTTTCCTTCCAATTCACTTCACCAGCTGTGCGTGTATGGAACTATACCTACCTTGGTAAGTAATGCAACCCAGTAGGAGGACATTTGTAGAATGAAGTGGTGCTGAGGAACCCTCGTCACACTGTATGCATTTCGGACATTTTATGCAGACTGGATCTTGTTGTGCCCTGTAGGCCAAATTCCCATTAGGTGTGCTCCCAGAATGCTTCTTCTGGTTTGGTTTCATGTGTAGGCAACAGATGGGAGGAATTGCATTTAAAGAGGAAAAGGGAATCACTTCTGATACAAAAAAAGGAGAGTGCAGTAGCATTTGATTGTAATATAGCAAAATGAAGGTAAGGAATTGAGTACTACCTATACAATTTACTGTTTACATACAAAGCTGGAGAGTGTTTGTATTAAGTACTCTTAAGTACTCTCAAAAGCTTCTTAATTCACTTGCTAAGATGTTTCTTCTTTTTCCTTCTTGCACCACCTCTTGTAATCTACTGATCCACTATGCTTTTGGATTGTTAAAAGAGTTTTGAAGGTGATGGAAGAGAGCCACCTTTTGTGCGCTTCACCATCTCTTGCTAATAATCTTGGTATGGTCCCTGACATTTCCTCATGCCATTGCTAATAGAGAATGTGACAGTGCCTGACATCTAAAATATGATCTGATTGCAGCATAATGAAGTAATATTAAAACCTTTCTAGAATATGCAAAGGAGACTGTAACCTCCTTAGAGTCAATGAAGTTCTCTAACTCTTTAAGCAAAAGTAGGCGTTAACAGATACATGTGTTTAATGTGGGTAGATGTATGCTAAATGATCTGTAAACCGATCTGTGCTCTGGAGTAGTGGATTGAACATCTTGTAAGCCAAGGTAATCTTGTTGTCAAGGGATATATTTTGTTTTGCTGTTGGTTGCAGGAGGCATGCCAATGTTTTTGTAGTTTTGGAGGCTGTACAGTTAAATCACAGAATCACAGAATGGCAAGGGTTGGAAGGGACCTCGGGAGATCATCTGGTCCAACCCTTCTGCTAAAGCAGGTTCACCTAGAACATGTTACACAGGACTTCATCCAGGCGGGCTTTGAATATCTCCAGAGAAGGAGAGTCCACAGTCCCCCTGGGCAGCCTGTTTCAGTGCTCTGTCACCCTCAAAGTAAAAGAAGTTTTTCCTCATATTCAACTGAAACCTCTTATGTTTCAGTTTGTACCCATTGCCCCTTGTCCTGTTGCTGGGCACCACTGCAATGAGTCTGGCTCCATCCTCGTGACATCCACCCTTAAGATATTTGTATGTGTTGATGAGGTCCCCTCTCAGTCTTTTCTTCAGGCTGAACAAGCCCAACTCTCTCAGCCTTTCCTCGTAGGGGAGGTGCTCCAGTCCCTTTATCATCCTAGTTGCTCTTCTCTGGACTCTCTCTAGGAGTTCCTCATATTGAACTGGGGAGCCCAGAACTGGACACAGTATTCCAGGTGGGGTCTCACCAGGGCAGAGTAGAGGGGGAGGATAACCTCCCTTGACCTGCTGGCCACATTCCTCTTAATGCACCCCAGGATACCATTGGCCTTCTTGGGAACAAGGGCACACTGCTGGCTCATGGTCAGCTTGTTGTCCACCAGGACTCCCAGGTCCCTCTTGTCAGAGCTGCTTTCCAGCAGGTCATCCCCCAGCCTGTACTGGTGCATGGGGTTCAACCTCCCCAGGTGCAGCACTTGACACTTGCCCTTGTTTAACTTCATCAGGTTCCTGCTACTCTGAGCTAATTTGTGTGCTTTGTTCTTAATTCATGCCCATCGCTGCTCCCTATTGGAAGTTGATCATTCATAAGAAGACATCTGTGGTCTCTGAATTTATGGAGTTACTGTAATTATCAGGAGGAACAGTGCTTTGTTGTGTACATTAAGGCTTCAGTAATGTACTTTTCTTTGTTTTCAGTTCTTTCTGCT